GTTAACACTTTCAAGCCAGATTTCAATTCCACAACGATAGATATCCAACTGACAGAATTTATCAGTGAGCTTTCCCAGACCCGCTTAGGGGAACCACCAGAAGAATTACGACCGTCTTAGACCTATGAAGGGAAGCCAATTTTTATATTTGCAACATAGCTTAAGTCGAGAAGGGTTATCTGCCAATTAAAGACCTTCGAGTTTGACTAAGCTCAGCTCCAAGACACATCATTTGCAGAATAACTTAAGTCGAGAAGAGCTATCTGTTAAAGACCCTCGAGTTCGATTATGCTCAGCTTCGAGGGCACATCATTTACAACATAACTCAAGGCTAAAAGGGTTATCTGTGACCAAAAGACCTTCGAGTTCGACTACGTTCAACTCCAAGGCATAACAATTGTAGCATAACTTAAGTCGAGAAGGGTTATCTGCCAACCAAAGACCTTCGAGTTCGACTACGTTTAACTCCAAGGCACATCATTTGCAGCATAGCTTAAGTCGAGAAGGGTTATCTGCCAAAGACCCTCAAGTTCGATTACACTCAGCTTCGAGGGTACATCATTTGCAGCATAACTCAAGGCTAGAAGGGTTATCTGTCACAAAAAGATATTCGAGTTCGATTACACTCAGTTCAAAGGCACCATCATTTACAGCATAGCTTAAGTCGAGAAGGGCTATCTGCTAAAGACCTTCGAATTCGATTACACTCAGCTCAGAGGCAAACCAAATTTACAGAATAGCTCAAGGCAAGAAGGGTTATCTGTCAATAAATTGGTCGAGTTCGATTCCATTCAGCTCGATGATACCTCAATTACACTACTGTCCGGTTGCAATCAAGGTTTTCAAGTCAAGAAGAAGGCCTGGGTTAACCGTGCCTTAGTGACAATAAATCATTTTCCGGCAGCATAGCTTAAGTCGAGAAAAGCTATCTGTCAATGAAGACCCTTCGAGTTTGATTCCATTCAGTTCAAGGGCTTATCAACCCCACGGTGGAGTTAAGGAACTACTTTCCAGTCGAATTTTATAACCAAGATCTTTAAATCGAGAAGAAGACCAAGGTGAATGGCAATTTAAAGCCATATCCTGATTCTGAGCTACAACTTCAATTCCATATCATTTCAAGACGGACTCGACTTCACGATGGATGGGTCATCCGTAACTCAATTCGACAAGGAGTTATTCTTCAACTCCACCGAACGAAAATTTGTGTCATTTTATCTTTATCCTATTTTTCGTTTCACGAAAAAGGACAAAGAGGGGCAGCTGTAGACACTAAATTTTCGCTGCCACATCCCCCTCATCCGAAGACTTCTCCAACAACTCGCTCAACACGCCAATTCACTCGGCAACAAACAACAACCGATAATTTCATTGGCATTAACCATCCACAAATCAACAAACAACCATGTTAGAATCCCACTCGAAATCAAACATTAAAAATAGGTTGTTTTTTAGACTATAAATACTCATGTAATCTCGCATTTAAAGGGGGGATATCATTATGAAATACAAAAAAATACGCCAAGATCACAAGCAAATACGAAGCCTTTTTGTAACAAGTTCGAAAATAAATAAAGGTACCATTTTGTTCTTACCTTACTTTCGATTTCCCTTGGCTTGCATGTCTCGTTTTCTTTCGGTTTAAAACCCATTAAGCCAATGAATGGGGGGTACTTTGCAAGATCTTCGAACATAGATATGCCCCTGAGGCTAATTTTTTTAGAAAAATTCTTTGATTTTCGGAAAGAAGATGAGATAAACTTTCGAAAAAAGAAATTTTTTTTAAATTTTCGTCGTCGATAATCGACGATCGGCGCCGATCAACGGCGGCCAACGAGGTGGCATAGTGGCTGGAATCTGGAATATGCGGTGGTGTTCATGTGTTCTTCAAGAACACAAGAACACCGAGAGAAAAAGGATAAGATGAGGGGGCTTTTTGTTTTGAAAATGAGAGGAATAAGGTTTAATTTTTTTTGTTTAACTTAAATACTCGGCCCATAGATCAGACTGACGACTCGCCTGTTGACCCAGACCCGGGAAGGATCCGCTTGTTTCTGCGTATTAAAGGGGAGGTTTCGTTTTGGTCCCCCGCTTTGTGAAAACTTCAATTTAACCCTAATTTCGTTCTGAATTGATCTTTAATTCTGATTTTCTTTTAATTTGACCACCCAATTTACTTTTTAATTCAATTTAACCCTTATATTATTATTTTTATTATTTTATTTATGTATACGTATTTTTTTATATTTTATTTATATGCCTATTATTAATATATATATTCTTAATTATTTTTTGATTATTTCTTTATTCACGTACAATATCTTATAACTTTATATATATATATATATATTATATTTTTTTATTATTTTTGATTTTTATTATTATTATATTCTATTATTTTTATTTTTTACTCTTGTCTTTATTATTATTTATATTATTAAATGTATATATTATTATTATATATATCACTAACTAACCTTTGAAATATCATTACTTGGACCCCTTTGTCATCATCTAAGCAAATTTTATTCCCCACTTTCGGTGAGGGGGAGTTGTTTAAATATTTTATATATATATATATATATATATATATTATATATATATATATTTTATTTTATTAACTTTGATATAGGTTTTTTTAAACATTTGATACATATATATATATATATATATTATTTACTATAATTCTTTTTTTATCTTATTTATTTTATTTATTCATTATTCTTCTCTTTATTTTATTTTATTTTATTTTTTTTATCTTCGTTTTATTTATTCACGTTTATTTATTCTCTTTATCTTATTTGTTTTCATTTTTTTATCTAACACATTTCTTAACTCTCTTAAGGGTAAGCTTTTAAAACTAGCTAAGGTAAGTAATTGTGATCGTATCTCTTAAGGGTAAGCTTTTAAAACTAGCTAAGGTAAGTAATTGTGATCGTATTTTTACCTTTTAATTCAAAATTACAATTTTCTTAATTTAAGACAACTGGAAATTACATAGTACTGAAATGGCAGTTCAAGGGTGCTAACCCTTTCTTGACTGTAACCGACTCCCAAATCCGACACATCTTTGGAAAGACGCATATCAGGTAAAAATTAAGGTATTCGATCTACCTATTTTTTATAAAATAAATGGTCGGTGGCGACTCCTAACCCATTTTCCTAAGTCGAAACCCAATTCCGGAGCCCACCTGAAAGACGGTTATGACACCTATAAAATATATGATAATTTGAAACTTTTAAGATAACAATTATCCTCGACTTCCCCTGAGTTCATCACTATTTGACAAAGAAATTCAGTTTCATTATTGCAAACTTGTATGTTTCTTTGAAAGTCATCTTGGATATGTGATTAAAGCATAGTTCTAGAGCTCGTGTACACATTTCCTAACCAAATATGTTGAAATGGGTAAAAAAAACTTGTAGGAGCACAAGGAGAGACCATAAACATTGCCATACGCTTGCATGTTGGAAAATGTCGGCAATCTGACGGATGAGCTTACGACTCCACGCATCTAAGAATGATAGGCGTTTTATGCACTCTTTCATGCATGTATGGGTAGGGATAGACAGAAATGTATGGGTAGGGATAGACAGAAAGGGTAGACAATGACAATCGTATCTAAAAATTTAAAATTAACATATATTTTAAATTTTTTATGTATTTTTATTAAAAAATATTTTCATTCTTTTTAAATTTTATAAGTTTACATCTCATAATATAAAATTCTATGTTTATCCTTGTATATGAGATAATATAACATTTTTTTCTTATAACGTAAAGGAGGTGTGGAGTTTGAACTTAAATTTTCATTTCAACCAACGTCTTTGATTATTATGTTACGAACTCGATTCATATGTGCACGGTTTTCTTAAATTAATAAAATTATATTCACAAACAAGAAAAGCCTACACAAACTAAAGTATACTAATCAGACTTATCAATCATTTCCCTTGAAACCATCGAAGAATATCATCTGCCCGCTAAATAATGAAAATAAAGTTATACATTAAAATGATTTAAAAATTGAATCAAACAATTCAAAATAATAAAATATATAAATAAACATTATGGTCCACATGAAAGGATAAACATTATATATTAACATAATATAAAAATGAATATAATGAGTCGACATTAATAATTCATTTTATCACAACTCGTGTATAACTTATTTGAGATGACTGTGATTACTTATCAATATGAGAAGAACAGTTCTTTCGAGAATTTAAATCAAGATAGATCGACAAGATAATCAAATAAATATTAATTGGAGAGAGGACGTCAAATATAATCCTGAGAAAATAATACAAGAATAGATAAAATGTGCTACAATCATAGAAAAAAGTACCCACTATTTTTTAGAGACAGATCTATATTTTTTCACCCTGAAATCTTGATTTTCTTTGAATAGTTATTTATTTTATTAATTGCACCCATCCAAAATTTTAGTTATATTCATCCTATACGAAAGATTTTACGTTATTAATATATTTATCTATCCTCACAAATATTTTTGGATTCATCACTAATCATTTTCATTAAAGAAGGAGAAGTATTGTTAAACAAAACAACATAAACATTCAAATATATATATATAAAAGAACGAAAAAAATACAATAAGAATTATAATAAAACATAGATGACTATGGTTAAGAACGAAAACATCATCCTTCTAAACTATAAAGTAAAAGGACATAACTAATTTTTTTTAGCTGACTTTAAAAATATAATTAATTTTTTGATTGAGTTTAAGGAAATAATTGATTTTGATTGAAAGTTTAAGAATTTATTTAATTTTATCACTGGCAATTAAATGAGAAAATAAATAAAGAACAAAATCAGGAAACAAAAAGTATAACGTGTATAAATAATTGATTTTACCAAATGTTTCCTCCATTAATTTTTCTAATATTGAATTCAACATTATTTTTAGTTTTATAGGGTTAAATCTCAGGAAACAACTATGCTGTAACAATAAATAAAGCACAAAATCAGGTGGCAAAAACTGATTGTTATTAAAATGAAACAAAGTTCTCTGGTAAAACCTTCACCTTCCGGTGCATCTACAAGCATGAGGTATTGGCAACAACTGATTTGTTTTTAAGAATTAGAATTGCAAACCAAAACTTTTGAGAACAGTTTGATTTAGAAGTGCCTCTAGCTAATGAGAACACAGCACCACAACCAGGAAGCCGGGAACGACCCAAATTTCGCCGGACAGTAAGGCTAAAACTCCTGAGCCTTTTAAACCTTTTTGGTCTTCAAGGGACCTTTGGGAATTTTACTCAGAACCTTGGTGTCGAAAACCGCATACTGCTTTTTTATCTCGACCATTGCCCTCTCTGCAAAAGGATCAACCTTGTCCTCATACTTCTCGTACAAAACAGGTACAGTATGCAGCAACACGAAAGCTGATTTACATAGAGAAGATAAAGGAAATTTGTTACAATATCGTATCGGTAAATCGACTCAGTACCAAAAACAAGAGACTGATATCATTACATATGTAGAACAAGGTTAAGAAGTTGCACCAACTCCCCACAATTGAGAGGAACCAGAAAGCAGCCACAACCTGAAATCAAAAAAGAAGGATAGCATTATTTATAGTGACTCCCCAATCAAACTGAAGTTTAGATGAAGCATTCTTGAAATCAAAAGTAGACACACCATTAGAAACTTCTTCGGATTTCTTCCGGAGGCAATATCACGGAGCAGCTTCAATGCCTGGTTAAGTTCAATTGTCAGAGCAGACGCAATTTGTAAGAATGGCTCCTCTGGCAAATGAACTTGTGGAATGTGAGGTGGAGACCTATGAAGAAAAAGGTTAGATTATTTTAAGGATCAAACAAATCTTATACTTGATAACCCAATTGACTTAAGTTACTGCAAATTGCCTACAACTTACTTGTGGATAAAGGTATGAATGTTGGACCAGAGGAACAACAATGCAAGAGCGAGTATCGAGATGTGACAGAGTAGAGTAAGTAGGTGATATTCAATCAACTCAAAAAGGACCCAGATTGCAGTTGCTCCACCGAGAACACCAGCCGAATTCTTCTTGTTCCTCCACAAGAACACATCAGCGACTGCACCAAATAATTTTAAAAATAGGAACTCAAGCCTTGCATTTTCTTAGCTACCAAACAGACCATAAAGTGTGAAATAAAATGCAGATCTGTTAATCTTCCATCAAAGTAACGTTTTTGGATCATTCTAAAACTAACTGCACGGTAATTTTCACTCACATGTCCATCAACTTCATAAAAACAAAAAACTAACACAAACCCGGATCTCATTACTTGAAAAGAAAAGTGAAAGAGGGGTTTGAGAGTACGTACGCTTTCCACCACCAAGAACATGGTGAACAGTTCTCTCCCGTCCAAACAACCTATAAATCTTAGCCTTGACGGAGCTAGGAGAAGCGGGTTTCCCATGATCCGAAGAAGAAGACGAATCATGGCCGTGAATCTTCTCGCTGATCTTCTCCATTACCGACTCCATCGTCGATTGGTTACTCTCCGTTTCCTCCGCCATTGCCAAAAGAAGAGTGAGAAACCAATGCCCTAAAATGACGGATTCTTTGTCTGCGATTTTTATGGTGTCCGAACAGTATTTTTTTTAAGTGTCCGAACAGTATACTTTGATTAGGAGTATAGGGTTTTATGAGGACGATATTTAAACCTTAAATGAGAGTGAGCCTGAGGTTTGGATCCACACCTGATGGTTCGGAGACGATTTGAAACGAATTGGATGGGAGAGCTTAGTAGGGTCCAGAAATGGAGGGCGGCGCGTTTTCCGAAAAGTTCAGCTTATTAGGACACGTGGCTATCATGTAGTGGGACGATGGGGTGGCATTTGAAAAGATGTCTGTTTTCAGTGGTGGCTTTGGATTACAATCAGTGGGCTCCACCTTAGCTTACGATGAAGGTTTATGCTTTTGTTGTTTGTTTTCTACACTCTTTTTAACATATAATATTATTTCTTTTTCTATTTCATTTAGTTTAAAGGAGGTTTTATTCTATGTTATTCAACTCGTGAGATGTAGATATATGTATATTTTGAATTTTGAATATTAATTAATTAATTTATTAATAATATTTATTTTAAAATTTTATTTGTCTGTTTCATCTAAATAATGTGTGTTGTTAATATATATATATATATATATATATAATCATACTAAAATTATATTTGTGAATATGTAAGTATATATCTTGTGAGATGAATCTGAAATCAAACTTACTAAAATGGTCTCTTATTTTGAAACATTAGACAAATCCGAAACGAAACTGGGAACATGTGTTGAGGTTTAAGAGGAGCCCCTTTTTTCTCATTTTCTTTTTTAATCATGGATACGCCCTTCTTTTCCATTGATTTCTCTATCCGTAAGCAACCAAGTAATTGAACATAGATCCAAATTCAGAATTTCCTTGGACTGATATTTCTACAAACAATTCCTGCCGGCCATCTGACTTCTAACATTAAACTACGATTATGGCCTAACTACATACTCCCATGTCTCTCGTTCTGAATCTACAAGCTTTTCTTACTACAAAACAACTACTCTATGATGGTTTAGTCGCTTTTTCCATTAGGCCTTTGTCATCAAAGATGGAATTGAGTGATAAACATCTCGACGAGTAACATAAGTCAACAGTCACATGCGGATTAGATCAAAGTTTCAAGTGATTGTGGAATTGAGTTTGATATAGTGAGATTCGACATCACCATATCGGGCTTAGAAAATACTACGCCGCTTCGAATTGATATCTTTAATTTCCTAAATAAGAAAAGGTTCATAAGTATTAACTGCATCGCCCATTCACCCAGTCATATACTTCCGGCACACCATGTCGAACAAGCTCCATCGGTTTTAATAACTCGAATTTTAGAGAAAATCCGATTATAAGAACCAGGCGTAGGACTTATTTAGTGACGCATGTTATTTTGCAGAAATACAGAAAGAAAGAACAAATTGATTTATAAAAATTGGTGCAAAGTAAAAAATTTAAAAATTAAGTTAGGACTTATGAAAATAAAATGTATGAATAAAGCAAACAAGTAATGGATTTGACCCAATGCACGCTCAGGAACAAATAAACTAATTAGCCTCTCTTTTGTGCATGAGAAATCATCCACCGATACTGAGCTTAAAAAGAGAAGGAAAAAAAAGAAGTCACCTCATCCTCCTCCGGTCTGCCACATGCTGAGACAAAGGCACGACCTCCGACAAAGGCGTAGAAAGCGGAGTCGGAAGTGGCGAGTTCCGACAAATTGGACAAGACCCATTAAGTTTCAACCAAGCATCAAGACAAGAAACATGGAAACAGTGCCTGCACTCAGGCATCATTCTCAACATCTCCAGATCCCTATACTCACATAGACAAATCGAACATGTCGTGTTAGCATTAGTAGAACCCACAGCAACCGCCTCTTTACTAAACTGGAACTTGGGGTATGAATTTATAATGGCTTCATCAAGCCCCACGACCACATTTTTATCGTCTTCATCAATGAAAACAACTCTGGGAAGGATGATCCCGTCGGAGTCGGCGCGAGCAGGAGAAGAAGAAGAAGGGCGGCAGCAGACGTAGGATGCGAGGAGGATAATAGAGAGGAGGAGGAGGAAACCAAGAGCGACGGCGATGGAGTAGCCGAGGCCTAAGTTGGTGTGATAGAGAGGAGATGAATGGGATTGGGTGGACATTTGAGGAGAGGTGGAGAATCCATTTGATGAAGCGAAGAGAAAAGAGAACATTACCGAAGTAATGGTGGGAGATTTATTGCTCCAACTGCTGTATTTAATACTCAGTTTCCAACATTAATTTGTTTTGATTGTGAGTTCAGACTAGAAAGAAGGTTCAAATGAGTTCAATTTTCAATGATCAAGATATCTCACATATTAACAATATATTCTTGTGGCTTCTGGGTATAATTTAATGTTTAATTATATATTACAAGGCTGTGCGATGATAAGTTCCGGTGATCGGAAATAAAGACGATGAAGGATAATAAGAGGAGATCAGACTAAAGTTAGGATTTTTGTGATAACCTATAGGATAGCCAAAACAATGAAAAATGACTAGGGTTAACAAAACATGAGAAAGGTGAGTTTGATTTTTATGGATAAACTACTTAAGCAGTCATTAAATAGTCATTGAAGTGCGAGTCCATTTATATTTTCAGTATTAAAGTTTTAAAAGTAATAAAACAATTACTATTATCTGTTGTTACCGTAATCAGAAAAATTTAATGTGACACATTTGGACATATGAGTTGGCAATTTTTGATAACGTTGACACCATTTGACCAGTCACATTGACTCTCACTTAAAGAAATGCAGATCTTTTTCTTTTCTTATTAATAGAGATCTTTAATTTTAGAATCCTATTTTTTGAAGTAAAGATTGGATCCCTAAGGCATGGTTGGTATCGATGTTTCTAAGTATGCACATAGTCCCGTGCACAAAACTGTTGCAACGAGGGATTATGAGAGTCTGAGGAGGATACTCGAGGCCCTCCCAAGGCTTGGTAATGCAGACGAAATTCGAACAGAAGCAATCTCATTGGCTGAGGAAGCGAAGGCTGAAGATTTCGCTTCTGTGATTGATAAGCTTGATGTTCCTGAGATACCCCTTTTCACTTGGCTGTTAAACTCGGTGATGAAACTGCAACTAAAATGCCTATGGCTGCTGGTGCTTGGAAAATGAAGATGGATGAAGTGCACTTCAAGAAAGCAATTTGTAATAGGGAAGAGGCTATTGCGATGACTATTGTTCAAAACTACCAACCATTGGGATGGGCAAAATGGTGTAAAAGATTGCCTCGTTTGGTGGGAACTATGCGAAGGATGATAGACTTTTACATGGAAATCACTTTCCATTTTGTTAGTTATGTGTTACATTTTATTTCACGAATTGCTCCTTCTGGTACATATAAAATTTGGAAGAGGGGTGCAAATTTAAGGGCTGATATGACTATAGCTGGATTTGATGGATTTAGAATTCAACGTTCAGATCAGAGTATTTTTTTTTTTTTTTGCCACAGGCAGTTCTTTTGCCACAGTTGACTTGGAGGCGACAAGAGAAAACAGAAATGGTGGGTGCCTGGAAGGCTAAGGTGTATGATATGCATAACGTAGTTGTTAGCATCAAATCTAGGAGGGTGCATGGAGCCACGACAGGTGACTAGTTCCTTGCAACTTCCAATGGAAATGAAGAAGAGAATGAAGAGTTTTGATGAGATCTTGACTGAAGATGAAAGGAAACAACTTGGAGTTGCACTTAAAATTGGATTCTAAAGAAATATTCACTAAGAATGATAATGGCATTAGTAGGCATCGCCATAGTTGTTTTGATTCCAGGGAAATTTTTATCAAGAAAACAATGATTTTAGAAATGAAGAGACTAAACATGAAAATAACGGATGGTTTGATGGATGAAGAAAAAAAAGCCAAACATGAATAGCAAAGGAAGATTACAATTGAGATTTAGATTTTTTTAAGTAGGAATCAAAGTGACTGGTCAAAAGATGTCAACATGGCCAAACAATGCCAACACAGCCGCCCAAACATACTATACTAACAATTGTCAATGATTAGTTGACTGATAAAACAGGTATATAACGGCGTTTTCAAAGCAAACACGACTAAATTTATACATATTGCGGCGTTTATATCCAAAACGCCACAAAATGGTAACATTAACGGTGTTTTTCCATAAATGCCGCAAACTCGTACTTTAGCGGCATTTATTTCACAAACGCCGCTACATATAAATACTTTAGTGGCATTTTTAAAAAAACGCCGCCACAAAATCCTACTTTAGTGTCTTTTCTAAACAAACGCCGCAAAAGAATCGTTCTTTAGTGGCATTTTTAAACAAACGCCGCAATAGGGTACATATATTGTGGTTTTTTTAATAAACGCCGCTAAAACCTAGTACTTTAGTGGCGTTTCTAAACAAACGCCGCAAAAGAATCCTTCTTTAATGGCATTTTTAAAACAAACGCCGCAATATGTTGAACCGTTAGTGGTGTTTGGTTTGAAAACGCCGCGATTGTTTGTTCTATAGTGGCGTTTGATTTAAAAAATGTCTCAAAGTTTAATAAAAACCACCAATTTTTCTCCTGCCCGATCCCTAATTTCTTTTTATCATCTTCTTTAACCTAAGTTCTTCCTCTATCCTTAACTTTGCATCTTCATCAAATCGGGGTAGCAGTCGCCATTAGTAACGTTGTCAGTCACCACCATCGCGCCTTCATCACTCCTCAAGGCTCAAAATCAGGTACTCTTTTATTCCTCAGTTGTTGTTTGTTGCTGTCTACATCACTTTTGTTAGTATTTTCAGAATTATGAATTTCTGCTAGTTTGTTTTTCTTTTTTAAATTTTTTTGGGACCACAACGAGGAACAAAATCTCAAGCACTTTCGAAACATTGCTCCATTTATCTGTAGAAGAACTTAAGAAAGGCTTTTCACTTCTCTAGCGTTCTTTTCTGTTTTTTGTTTAAGATCTCCCCACACGCATCAAGCATTCTGTGAGGTTATTAAACTCATTTTGTTTTTCTTTCTTCAAATTTTTGTTCTACAGAAGGAATTTTGATTGTAGTAGGCAAACCCTAACTTTACTAAAAGCTGGAACTGACCTGGGTTTGTACATTTTCTCCTTCACTTTTATCCCCTGTTTTGTGTATTTCTGATGCTTTTTAAATTGCTCGTTGTATCTTTTTATTCCAAAATATTTTAGGTTGTATTCTGATTTTATGCTCACTAGTAAACTTGGATTATGGAATGTGCTTAATTGGAGCCTTGTTTACTTGCATCTCCTTCACTTTTATCCCCTGTTTTGTGTATTTCTGATGCTTTTTAAATTGCTCGTTGTATCTTTTTATTCCAAAATATTTTAGGTTGTATTCTGATTTTATGCTCACTAGTAAACTTGGATTATGGAATGTGCTTAATTGGAGCCTTGTTTACTTGCATTTATGTCGTTCTCAGTATTTCCCCCCCTCTGTGTTGCTTGGAACTGATCTGTTGAAGGAAAAGGAATTGGTCTTCTATGTTTAGTTTGGGAAATTATGGATCTGCATTGTTCATTCGATGGGACTGGGAATTCTATGCAGGAATTATTTGAGAATTTAAATATATATTTTTTAAATTAGTTTTCATGTCTGTGTTTTAATTCATTTTGGACTTTTGATTTTTTGGTGTCAGGGTTTGAGCTGGTTTTTTTTTTGAGCTGCATCAAGCTCCTCGTCTTATTTTGTTTTGTGTGCCCCTTACTTTTGATTCTTTCCTTATTTGTGAACTTACTGAAATAAGTGTTAGTAAGTATTGCAACTTTGCTCGACTGTATTCAAGATAGGCACCGGTTTTAACAGTTTTGCTGATTAGATTTTTGTCAATAGCTAGAAGTTGTCTCGAGTTCTTTGACTGCTTGGCTTTATTTGTTGACAATCTTGCATGCATTTTAGTATTTCATGATAAAGACTTTGTTGTTGTTCCATTTGTTTCAGGTGCCTTCTTAACAGTTTTGAAATGATTGTAACCATGACACTTTTGAGTGCTTAATCCTGACTTTACAAATGACTAATCGGAAAAAAGATTATTTTTGTATTATTTGTAATTTTAAACATTCCTTTCCAAATATGCCATCCCCTTGCGCTGATAATTTGTAGAACTTGATTTTACTCCTTTTGTTAAATGCTGATGTTATCACTGTGGTTTATGCCTGATTTTTAAATTATTTTTAGAAGTGGTGTTACTTGAACTACAAATATTCTTAACAGTGTCTAAAATAATTTGGTATTGGCTTCAATATATTCCAGATAAATGGATCTATTCAAGACCTGGTATATTCCAGATAAATGGATCTATTCAAGACCTGGCAGGATCCACAGCGAGGAACAGTTGCAGGAGGCATGATCAGGTTTGTTCATTTAAGATTTTGTTAGTGATCATATCCATGTTATATATGTCGGGCATGGATATATCGAGTAATAAAGAGTCAAAGCATCATAATCTTCGGCATTTGTTTGATTTCCGGAGAGACAACAACTTACAAATATACTGAAGTCAATTTATTAACTTCATGGAAATGCAGAGAGCTCTTACTTGCATTCAACACGGCCACCGGACAAAAGCCGCTGAGGATAATCTTTTACAGGTACACTATGTGATGATTAAAAAGAGCATCTTGATAAGTTCAAGGTAAAATGCACTGAACCTATTTGTTGTTAGCAAGTACTTACAGGTAAATGAATACTCTTGGAGATTAATGCCCTTAAACTGCATATAAATTATTTCAATGAAAAGCAGTCTTGCAGTGAAACTTACACATCTAAAATTTTGATGCAGCCTGAAACTTTTGATCTCGTGGGGATGATTATCTATGATATAACTCTATAGAGGAGTTAAAAAGAGAAAACACTGCAATTAATCTTGTAAATATGATTTTTTTTATAATTTTCTCAGAATACTTTCTAGTTAATGATGTTGAAGTATATTACATTTTACTTAAATGTTTGTAAACTTTGATTTATTTATGTCAACTATTTTTATTTAATCCGAGTCGTAATTAAATTTTAAGGTGGTTGTTATTGGATATTGTTAAATGATATTAAATTTGGGTAATAAATAACAGAAAATACCATTTGCAAATTAGGTTGGTTTAGCGTCATTTTAAGCTAAAAATCAGCTTTAATTAGCGGCATTTGTATAATAAAATGCCACTAAATACATAGTCAATACCAGAGTTTATAAAACAAAATGTCACTAAAGTTAAAGATCTTTTGCGGCGCTTATATAGAAACGCCACTATATATGTATTCAATAGCGGCATTTTACATTCACAATTGCCACTATATGTCAGAACATTTAGCGGTATTTTCGGAAACAAATGCCACTAAAGAAATGATAAATAACGGCGTTTTCTTAAACGCTGCTAAAGATCATAACCTTTAACGGTGTTTGATGTTCACAAACGTCGCAAACTTTTGCAGCGTTTGTTTTTGTGCCAAAAGGGTTTTTAGCAGCACTTAAAAATATCGCTATATGACTAAAAAAACATCGTTTAAAAACCTGTTTTGTTGTAGTGTCATTACAAAACGATAATATTAGTGATTGTTTTGTTACTTTTGAAACTTCTATATTAAAAATAAGAAGTTACTCATAATTGAGTGACCATTTATACAATTTATCCTTCATTCAACTATAACCACAATAGCTTTAAAGTTGTGAAGTCTCATAAGTTAACGCAAAATATGGTTAAATGCAAGTTAATGACCATTTCATTGATGATACCATACAGCAGTTCTTCGGTTGAGGTATAGTGCTTAGCCATATTTTGGACATATGCACCCCAATTAGTAGGTATGGCTATGCTTCAAATCTATTAAATGCATGCAATGGAAAGTTGGAAATTATTATTATCTAAAATTTATTTCCCTTCCTTTCGATGGAAGGTAAACTGAACTCTTATAAAAACTTGTTTTCCTTAATCCATAAATTAAAGCATATATTATAAGTTCTAACATATGATGCTGCAAGGTTCATCCTTAACTTGCTGAGCAAGCGTTAACTCAAAATAAGAGGTCTTTGAGAGTAGGAAGCTTCATCTCTCCTTTCTGACGAAGAGGGATGGTGAAGTCTCCAAAGAGAGGAAGATCCATGGTGAGTCCCAACTCCAATTCATAGTCTATATCCCAATCTGCTCCGATGTCCCTCACCAAGCTCACCAATATGCTATGCGGCACCTTCATCGCCACGTCCAACGTCGTCGAGCCATTTGCCTTCAGTGATCCCGGGTCCAGTATTGTCCCCGATACAATCACTCTATTCAGCCCCAAACACACAATTAATCAATAAAACAAATGTACACGCTAGTTGTAAAAGACGGTTCAATATTATTGGAATATTGCTTGTAATCTAAGCATATTCGCTAGGAAAGACGGTTCATTATTGGAATACTGCTTGTAATCTAAGCAACATTATAATTGTCTTTTAATTCACCCTATTCCCTACATGCCATTATTATTCTAAAAGAGGAGAAAAATGCATAATGGAGGAATCTTATTCTTCTTGTAAAATTAGGGCATGCATGCAATTCTCAAGTTTAAGAACACGAATCACAAAACTTAACGGGTTATCACTAAAGATTCGAATTCGAACAATTATATCTGCAGTATATATATATATATGATATCAATGATTAATAAAATTCAGAACAGATACTACCATTTAATCCAAACTATTAAAAAAATTAAAATCGCAATTAATAGATCACACAATGAATGAAATCATCAGAAATGAAACAAGGTTGAAACGAGAGGAGGGGGAGATCAAACCTGCTATCACTTTTGAGAGTGTAAGAGATCTGACAGATGGGGATAGGAGCGCTGTAGGGGTTGGTGACGGAGACTTTAGCGTCGTATTGGATGCCGTCACGGCCGATACGGCCGAAATCGACGTCCGTGATGCTGGCCTCGGGCTTCTTCATGTTGGCCACCTTATCGGCTACGAAGTTCTTCGCCTTGTCCAACAACGCCGACATTGTGTTCAAAGAGTTGTCAGGTTCCGGGGGTTTCGATATGGTGGCTCGGCTGCGGTGTGGTTTGGGACCCTTAAAATTAGGGTTTTATTTTATAGGGTAGAGGAGGGGATCTATCTTGGTGACACGTGTGCTTAAGACTTGTTTGGTGGGTTAGGGCACGTGAGAATAAACGCGTAGAGGACTTTGGTTTCTCCGTAGATTAGTTGGATTCGATTTTTCATTCTTTTCGGGCGAAGTTACTGTTATTTATTTGAATAGTCATTTAATTACGAGGTTTTTACTTTTTCTCAGACATTAGCTAAATTTAAGCTTCGCAAGAGATAATAACAAACAACAATCTTAATTTAGAAAACATTAAATAGTATTTCATTTAAAGGTTATCTTTGACACAATTTTGTCAATGCATTCGTTATTTGATTTGCTTACGAGAGACACATCATATTTAGGTCCCGATCACTTTGAAAAAAATAGACGAATCGTGACTATAAGAACATGATCACACAATGCAGTTGAGGTCCTACGCACCACTCCAGTTGCTTCAGCGCTATCCACCTTATTATAAAATTGGTTGAATCCTAGTCTCCTAGCATGTTGAGGTCCTATGCAGCATGTTACTTGTTTTGACTTGTTTTAGGTCTTTTAAATTGTACTTAAAAATAATAACAGTAGGCCGATCAACCAAGCCCTCATCACTTTGTTTGATTAAGAGATTGTGATACTTATTGGTAGTTTTGATATTATAAAAGTTCTTCATGCGATAAATATAGATGTTGTTCTAGAGATATCTCGTATTGTCATCAGTTTGACCCTTGTATGTTCTCATAATATGGTCAGACCTTATACACTTTCTGCCATACGGTTTCATATTCCTTTGTCACCCTACCAGCCTAGATGTTGTTTCATTGGTCTTTTTTTTATTTTATTTTTGTGTGATCTTTCTAAGGATATTCTCAAAATAAGAACCATTTTTTCTCAAAGATTTACTGAGTCTCACTCATCATTGGATGATCAAATAGGAATAGATGATCATTTGAACAGATGTTTATTTTAATTTAAAAGTATATCTGAGTGAGATATAAAAGAAAAATGTGATTTTAACCATTATTTGAGGCCTTATTATGAACATTACTTGTTTATTATACATACATGATAAATTTAAAATAATGATAGTAGTGTTTATCAAAATTGACACATGAAAAATAATATAAAATAGATTTACATGACAAGAAACATACTTGTATTTCAACCATTGGCATCTTGAAAGTTTCTAGTATTTTTTCCTCATTTAATTTTATATATAAATATAAAGAAAAAAGATATAACTCTTAAAAAGTTTTGACGCCCTTAAAGAAAAATGATAAACTATACCAAATACTATTAAATTCTAGATAATGTATGATTTATATGTTGAATTTTCAATTGATTTGATTATAATATTAAATTTTTAATTTTATTTTAATTATACTATTAAATCGTTAATTTGGTAATGACACGATTATGTGATTAACATTTGTCGACATGGACGCATCACCAAATAATCATTTTGGGTCCAATTATTTAGATACCTAAAAAGACTCAAAATAATTATAATAAATAATATCGTTTTGTTTCAGCATTTATGTCATATACTGACAGAAACTGTCGTCTATTTTATTTTGTTGTTTCTAAGTTGACAGACTAATAATATAATTAATGAAGATTAAACTTTTTTAGTGTTTTAATTGAATCAATTTTAAACACAATGATAAAATAAATTTTAATCTTAAAATTCAGTGATATTTGGAGTAATTTCTTGTTTATTTTATTTTAAGAGATTTTGAAGGATAGTGGCGGAACCACGTGGGGGTGAAAGGGGATATGACCCACTCTAATTTTTATGGTTTAATTCTACTTTAAGCTCGTATAAGTTTTGAAACCATTAAAATTATGTCTTGACGCTCCTAAAATTTTCTAGTTTAATTATATTTTAAGACATTATCAGTTTAAAAGTTAAATGAAATTAAGTATTGGCTCTAACTTTTTTTTGTTTAATTACTTTTTGAGACATAACAATTTTAAAATTAGTGAAATTAAGTCTCAATCCTCTATTTTTTTGTAGTTTAATTACATTTTAAAACCTTATTAGTTTCAAAGATAAGTAACTTGACTTCTCCCATAATTTCATCCTAATTCCGCTATAATTAAAGAGTTGTTTTGGTGTGTTTACAGTTGCTGTATGGATATAACTTGTGCTATTCCAAATTTTAACCATAAAGAAGAAATAGAACATGTAATGGAGCACGGAACATGAAACTGAAGCTTTGTTACCATATTACATATAACAGTAATTTATGAGTTTGGTTGAGTGCACCAAATTGATAAATGTATGATTTAAGTCTCATCTCTCGAACCAGATGAGGAGACATCTATCCTCTTGCTCCCACCATTACCCAAATCTCCACTACTTTCTTCCCTCTTCTAACTTATCTCTTTAGATGTTTAACTACTATATATAAATACAAGACAAATTCAATCTGTCTTTCTTTGCTCAACAATCACTTGCGTAAGCTTCTGTTTGCCGTCCAAAAAGCTCTTCTTTCCTCATCTTAATCTTTTCTGTTTTTTCGATAATTCTGTTTGCGTAAGCTTCTGTTTTTTCGATAATTCTTTCCTCATAGATCGTTCTTGGAAAATCCTTTTGTTTCTTTCTTCCTATCTTAATCTTTTCTTGTACCCCATGATTGAATAAATATATAGTCTTAGATGATTAAAAGGTAGTATCTTTTCAACAAAAAATTCTTAGCTTATTAATAATGCATATACACCCTGCGTACACAGCTATTTGAACCCAGATCCTAGGAGAACAATATTCTTTTTGGGTAAAACAGTTTTTTAATGGTGAAGAAACTTGGATTCACTGTAATTTTGCTTTGTTTACAAGTCATCAAACCCTCCACTGCCTGCATTTGCTGAAACTTTGAGTCATTTCACTATTGGCTGACAGCTTAGTTTCAAGGAAAATGAAGTGTTTCAGAACAAGACAACAGTAATCTAATCAGTTTTGTTTAAGAACAGGTGCACATGCCTAAAGAGGAACCACCTAATATTTTATCCGCAAGGAAGAATGAAATTATAGGGGGGGGGGGGAACAATGGACGCATCTTGAGTCACATGCAGTTTTAATTTTAATGCATGGAATTGTACGGCAGTTCTTGGAGTGGTTTTCATGTGGAATATTGCTTTAAAACAGCGGTCTGTGTATTTTATTCTGGTTTCTTCTAATTTATTAATTATTCCAAAAGATTATTAATTTAATTTGAATAGCATGAAGTACAAGAAATTCCAAGCTTGTAAATTTAAGAAGGAAATCAATTAACCGTACGCTTATAGCTAACAGCAGCAAACTATAGAAAGTGAGTTCGAATTTAGAAATCTGCAGAAGAATAATGATTACTTGACCTATAATGAAACGACCAATGCATTTGGGGCCATTGAGTTTTCTGGTAAGATTGGCAGGAAATCTCCAACTTAGAATTTCACTGTGACCCACCGTGGACATGAAGGTGTTAAACATGTGGACGAACCTTGTTTTTTTCTTCTTCTTATTTTCAGCTTTCATTCAAAGGTAAATTTTCTATTTTGTTTTATCTTTTTGTTGGGGCGGTGACTGCGAAGAAGATTCAAAAGAGGCACAGTGAGGAGATGATAAGTTGTCTATACATTAAAGGGAAATATAGTTAACGAGTTTAAAGTTATTATACCTACTCCGCATAGCATTCGGATTCTCTGATCAACTATGTAGGTTGTATGCAACACCCTCATACTGATGCGGATGACCCAATCTGATCCGATATGTCACATTAGGACCACCAGAGCGGCCCAAAGTAAAAATCCAGAAAAATTTTAAATTTTTTGTTAATCCATGTAAAACTGTAAAATAATTTATAGATAAAATACAAATTTATAAAATCATTTATTTATTAAAATAAAATCCACTAATATCTAATAGTAACACAAGTTTCAGACTTGAATATAAAAACAGAACACAACCTACATGCCCCATCATTACAAGCACCGTACTCCGCAAGCAACACTGGTGGAACTCCTTTACTGATGTCGATAAAAGCACAGGATCAAACTCTTTAACCTGAAATGGTAAGTAACAGAGTGAGTTTTGGAAAGCTCAGTAATACAGAATTACCAGATGAATGCAATAGGTTATCAAACATATGGTAAAGTATAGATTTCCTTAGAGGGACATACATCATCAAATTCTAACAGTGAATTCGGATTCCATTAGCTAAGTATTCAGTTACAAACAGGAATTTACAGTCTGAAAGAAGTATTAAGAGAGAAACAAATTCAGAAAATTGAATTGGGAAGTCTAGTGTGTTCTAACAAAACATAGAAATGTGTACAAATCCTTTAAAAACATTAGTAGTTTAAAACATATTTTAAAACCACAGTAATACCCTCCAACCGAACACATATACGCAGTTTCCCCAGAACTGCATCCATAATGACTTACCCTAAGCACACAACAAAGAAGCCACCCTAAGGGAGTACCTTGGGGCCTACCTAAGGGTCTTGTTAGGTCCGTAAGGATTTACCAGCTTGATCAGAGCTGAACCCCTGTACTCTAGACCCCTACCCATACATTATCCAGTAGAAATTATATTGAACAGTAACTTTAATATCAAAATCATGATCCAGTAGAATGTTGTGAAAATGAAAATGTAGTTATTTAAATGACATGAATGCCCTCCATCCGTACACTAAAATACAATCCCACACTAAGGGAGTGCCTTGGGCCCTTAGAGCCTACCCAAGGAATACCTTATAGGTCCGTAATGAATTACCAACTTGATCAGAGCTGAACCTCCATACTCCAGCCTACCCAGATATTGTCCCAATAAAATAGTTCAAGTAGTAACAATAGATTCCTTGATCCATAAATCAGGAACGACTATATTTTCCAGTGAAAATAGATAATCAGAGAGCACATATCAGGTAGTCATAGTTGATAAATAGTAAATCAGAATACCGAACAATTAAAAGATTCAATAAAACAATAACTTCAGTAAATCACATTTCAGGACATAAAATAATCATATAGCACATAAGGAACACGCTATAGGATCCAATTATTCTCCGGAGGTACTTGGTATTTATTAGGTAGGGAACCACAAAACTTTTGTAATTTGATAAAATTTTAGAAATGAGATCCCTATTAAAGAGGGTTCGATAGCTAACAAACTAATCATTCATTCGGGAAATGATTTATCAAGATCATATAGTATTAAGATATTTTTCGGAGTCACTAAGTAATCAGGAAGGTAATCAGAATATTTTACATCAGATTTACTTGAGATTTTAGATATGACAGAAGTGATTCCATTATTCAAGCAAATAGGGGTATTTTATACATTTTAATTTCTAGTAGATTCTTAGTAACTTAATTCAATATGGGTAAAACAGTAGTTTGCATTATTATGAATTTACATCGAATTATCATGATTTCGAGTCAAATCGTACAAATTGATCCTCACCCTGTAAAATTTGTCAATAATCTGAACCGATATACTTCACGAATAATCACTTCTTAATATTGATTACACTAGTTGAACTGGTCACTTTCAGAGTCACCGCTGAACGGAACTAGAGGAAACACTCAAGTATTCAATGGTATTATATATTTCTGTGATGTATAACTGTCAAGAATACTCAACATAATTGAGTTATGCTCCATAACCTTTATGGGTGATACAACATTTAAGTTTATTGGTATTTCTAGAATTTATCCAAAGACATTTACTTATTCCAAGTCGTTAGGATATTTAGGTCACTTCAACACTCGAGGTTACTTCGGTTATCTTAGAGTTCAAGGTATTCTAATCCTTTTGGGGTTCAAAGATATTTCAGTCATTTGAATATCATAGGTTATTTTAGTTATTTCGCAGCTCGATGACATTTTGGTAATTCCTTTCAATCCATACATATGCATTTTTTTTGGTAATTCGTTAAAGTATGTCATTTCTTGGTTATTTTTTACTTTCAGGGGCAATCTTGATCTTTTTACAGTACAATGGAATTTTTAAAATTTTACCCCATAGAGTTATTTTTGTAATTTCTTAACCAAGTATTCTCGACATTTAACCTTTAAAGAAATTAATCAGAATATTTGGATCATGAGGTCAATTTATTTACTAACTAATCATTGAACTTATAATTATTTTCGACCAGTCTACCATTTTTTTGCGAGCCGTCTGAGTCTTATACAATGTTCTGCCTTTATTCCATATTCAGTTTGAGTCAAATGATAATTAAATAATCCTAATTGACCAATCATTTTCATTCATGCATTTACCGATGATCAATGAGTTCCGAAAAACATACAAAAGGTAGTAGAGTATTACCTCAATTTAATCCAAAATATAGCTTACCGGGATTGAATTTGGCAAAACAGACTTCATATTCAAACTCAGGACATCGAAAAACATAAAATATGATTTTTCAGAAATTTTAACTTTTTGGTCAAAGTCAGCGGTCAGCGATCAAAGTCAAAGTCAACGAGCATGCCAACGGGCATGTCAAAGTCAACTGATCGGGTCAAGATCAATGGGTCAGACTAATTCGGGTGTACTCAGGTCGGTGGTCGGTTCAGTTAACTCAGACCGGTTTGAGTTGACTCAGATCGATTCGAGTTTACTCGAACCGATTATAGGATATTCCAAGCCAGGGGAGGAGCCCCACGCGCATGCGGCGGTGCGTGGTGGCATATAACGATGGTGACAGGGTCCGAGATAGCACTCGATTACTCTGGGAGCATCCAAACCTCAATATTAAACTATATCCATACTCAAAATCAGCTAAAAGCATCGGAAACAAAAGCAAAGGGTGAAAACACTTACTCGACGACGATAACCTAACCCAAGGGATGGGTTTTGAGCGCACGGAGGAGGGGAGTGCAGTGGTGGAGGACGTGAGGCAAGGGGACGTTAGTGGCGGATGAAAAATGTAAGAAAACGAGGAAAGCCTTGAGCGCACGGAGGAGGGGAGTGCAGTGGTGGAGGACGTGAGGCAAGGGGACGTTAGTGGCGGATGAAAAATGTAAGAAAACGAGGAAAGCCTTGAGTTATCCCGGTGAAGCTTCAACCGTTCGATACTGGCGAACGACGCGACCACTCTGCGAGTTACCGACTGGGTTGCGATTGTACTGAGGTGGCGCTTCAATTGGTGTCGATGGTGTCTTCAACCGATGAACGGTGGCATCGAATCGATGAGGACGAGCGGGCAAGTCTTTACGATTTCGCGCCTAACGGTAGTCGGCTCGAGCGATCTGAGGGTTGGGGTTAGGGTTGGATAGTCGATCGCTACTGAGGCCGATGACAACGGCGGTGCACTCAACCACTGATTGGAGGGTCTGGCCGGAGGGGCGACGGTAGAGTTGTTTGGTTTGGGGTTTGAGTTTTTGAGATTTAGGTACTTGGTTCCCGAACGATAGGTTTTTTATGGGTTAACACCCAGTAAAATTATAATAAAACATATATTTTATTAATTAAAAGATAAACAAAAGTCTAGCCTAGATAGTTAGGGCATGAACAACTATACTTTCGAGATAGGGGTTGAACCCCCTTATGCCACCAACTTTATATTTTTTTCTATTGACCAAAAAATGAAATATTTCGGGGTTAAGTCTCTAAACTTCCCACAAGTTCCAAAACTGAGCTAAAAACTTCAGAAAGTTGTAATTTGATCCTTAGTTTTCTTTTAATTAAATTTTGGGGCGTTACATTGTATGCCTATGTGACCTACTATCAATAAGGTTTATTCATCCTATCAGTATATGAATAGTCATTATGACTTTAAGTCGATGTAAGCTACTGTACAAGGCTGAAAAGGTAGAGGGTCTCTCTCTCATATTCTTCGTATCTTTAAAATTAGACTATATTTTAACGTTTATAATTCCAGTATGAACCATCAAATACGACTTTCTGCTCAGCTCAAATCAAAATAAGTAAATCATCTTCCGCATTAACAACCCACATATTACCACATTAACAAAAACAAATTCCAAATTTTCATTTATTTAATCCCTATAAAACATATTACTTGTACATGAACAAAAAAAGATTAACGAGGCATCACCATCTATATACAAAGGAGTTCTCTTCTTTGGTTTACCTTCTATTATGATTGATGACATTCAAATCCATCACTAACTAGAGGAAGTTTTCTTTCCCTTTACCATTTTCTCCCCAAAGACATATGTTAACAAATAACACAAGCATTTGGATTCTCTTCCATGCTTTGAACATAGTAGTAAGTTGTCATATGAGGATTGTATGCTTTGTAGGCCTTGACAAGCTCCGAAACGGGGTCCGGCGGCGGCACGGGGTCCGGCGGCGGCACGGGCGCCGGCTTCTTCTCCTCTTCCTCTTTCTTGGGTTCTTCTTTCTTTGGCTCTTCCTTCTTAGGCTCTTCTTTCTTTGGTTCCTCTTCCTTCTTTGGTTCTTTCTTTGGTTCCTCCACTTTCTTGGGTTCTTCCTTCTTTGGTTCCTCTTCCTTCTCTGGTTCCTTTGCTGGCCCTACTGATACGATGTCAGTTGGCCAGTACTTGCGTAATTTGCTCACCACGTTTACTGGATCCACTGTTCCAATCACTGTCAACTTCTTTGCCATCATGTCCATGGCAATGGAATCAATTCCTATCAATTTTCCATAACAATAAAACAAGTTAATCAAAAAGAAGATGAAGAATATGATTTCACCTACATTCAAATCTCAGAATTTAACAAATCACCCTTCTTGCAGGAAGAAACAACAATAAAATCCAAGGCAAAGTTCATAAGCATGCAAATAATTTAAGCAGTCCCATCCTTTTCCATGTTTAATATAAAATCATTTGGGCAGCTACCAAGTGAATCCTTTTATGCTAAAATCTTTTATGCAGAGTATTCCATCACCAAGGTTGGAAACTTGAAACGAAAAACCAATAGAAAAGGATAAAAAGTGGAAAAACTTTTTCCCAGGATTGAATTCTTGCAAAGATGACGAAAATAGTTGAAAATAACAAAATCAGAGAGGAAAGAGGAAATTGCCAGAATTAAAAGGTCAAGTTTTGAAGGGGTACCTGAAAGAGTTGAGACCGTCTTTAAAGCCTTTTGCTTGGCTTTGTCATCGTGCAAATCCAACTTCAGAACAACCTTCTGTGATTTAAAAAGAAGAGATTTATGCTTGAGACCATCAATAAGCAACAGAAAAAAGTTTCAAATCTGAACATCAAAGTATGAAACATTGGAGTAGATCAAAGAAACCATTTTTATACTTATGAATAAAACGAGAATCAGAATGGAAATCAACAGAAACCCATCAAAACGCAATAAAAGTACATGAAGAATCAGAACCCAGTAAAGGGGGGAAAACAGACCTTCATTTGTGTTGGAGCTTGAGAGAGAATTGCAGAGTTCAAAAGAGAGGGAAAATAAAATGGGAATGTTGAAAATAGAAAACGCAATGTTTGTTTAGGCAAACAAATAGTTAGAAACAAGGAGCCATTGATAGCAGAGATGAAAATTGTAGAAGCAGTAAAACAACTAGCCTTGTCCGAGTCATCTCCACTGCTTTTGAAAGGGTGTCGCACCCAATGGCCAATACACCTTTTTTTTTTAAATTCAAGTTATATTCATAAATATATATAAAGTAATAGCACTATGTTTTTTTAATTAGTTTAGAGGGAATACAAATTAATTATGTTTAAAAATTCTTAACTAATATTTGATATTACTTTTTTTTGTATATGTGGTATTCAAATACAAACCTTAAAAAATAAAAAATAATTCTTTATACACTAAGTTATATTATATTTTAGAAAATGCAACATTTTAATTTTACTATTTCTAAGAGCTTAAAATTAAATTATTTTTTACGTTGAAAAATATACATTTTTCATTAAAAATAGAGTATAATATACAAATGGTTCCCTGACAACAATATATTGTTTTATTAAGTCTCTGACTATTAAAAGTTATAAAATGATCATTTGACTATAGGACGTTATTTTATTGAGTACATTGACTATTAAAAGCTACAAAATGGTCACTCGACTATTTATATGTTCCAAACTCGTCATTTTTCGTTAAAAACTGATGGACGTCTGAACTGGACGTTAACCTACTAATCTGTATATGATAAATCATATTTTAATGATATATATTGACACTGCTATTGCTTTCAACCAATGGCTGGTCAATATAATGTAAACAAATAGTTGATCCCTAAATATATCTCAATTTATGATCATATTTTATTATATCCCAGTAAATATATTTATATTTAGCTCAAACGATCGCTAATTTTTTAATATAAAATGATGAGTTTAAAATATATGGATAATCAAATGATTATTTTGATACTTCTAATAGCTTGGAGACTCAATAAGACAATATCATATAATTAAAAATTATTTTTATAATTTGTAATAGTTAAAATACTCGATAAAACAATAATCCATATTTGAGACAGCATTTATGTAATTTACCTTAAAAAAGTTAAAACTGCAAAACTCCATTGTAGCGCAGGTGATTTACAAAGTGGAACCCACGCATGTTTCAGTACACCGATATACTTTTTTATTTTCAAACGAAGGCTGTTGTAAAAGTAAAAAGTAGAAACTAAAATAACAAACCGTTGAACGCAGACATTTCAATTTTCTATATTAAGATCAGCTTATCTGGCTGCTCCTTAGTTTGACACGTGTCACTAACAACCTACCATATTAATGGAAAATTATTAGATAAAACTTGCTGACTAATACATCTGTGATCCTAGTCTATAAAATTCATGATCTCATTTTTATTTTCCAAGGTGATTTTTTACCTTTTTTCTACATGTAAGTAATAAATGAATAATTATTTTTAAATTATTTTAAAATTATTTTAAAATTAATGAATCTTATTAATTAAAATTACGAATGACATGATGAGTTAAATTCATATAATAATTTATTCTATTAATGAATAAAAAATAATAATGAAGTACAGGTAAGGAAAAACTGGTGGAGTGGAAATTTGAATAAAAAGGTACTAAAGCCGAATGATTTTAAAGCTTTCTTTTTCCCTGCTATTCAATTCCATTAACGCATATAATTATTTTTTTTCAATTTTAATAAATAAAAATCAGGTTGATTTAAACACATATAAAAGAGGTATCATCAAGTGATTTTAATAGTAAAAATGTTTGTCATTTTGTGAAGATTTCGAATTCAAACAATTATATCTATAGATTCATTATCAGTGACTAAATTTTTTTTAAACTAGGGTTGTAAACGAGTCGGTTGAACTCGAATATTGTTGAATTCGACTTGAAAAGTATAAAGTATCCTGCGAACTTTTCGAATAAGTGTCAAGTAGTTCAGTTCAACTCATTATGAGCTCGAGTTCGAGCTCGAATAGAGTCTATTTGATTTGAATATAAACAAAACTTTAACTAAATCAAACTAAAATAACTCGTGATCTATATCGTCTCGCTTACCTACCTATATTCTAAACACATATTCCTTATAATCACCCAAATATTAAAAAAAACTAAAGAAACATATACATAAGAGCAATAAGCAAAGCTGACAAGTTTTACTTTTTATAAACTTAAGGTATATAGCTATATAGCATCTTTAATTGCCCTAAACCTTAATCCAACGTACAGTTTGAACAAATCGCTATTTTTGGAATTTCGACTGACTTCGGGTTTCAGCCATCACCCATTCAACAATCACAACTACTTCCTTTTTTGACTTTTAATATCATCTATGTCAGCTTGGGCAACCCTAGTACTTATACATGCATGTCACTTTTAATCAAAGTGAAGCCATGAATATTTTTACAAGTGAAAACTAAATTATAAAACTTTAAAAGGTTAAAATAAAATTTATTATTAATTCAGAATATAATTTTAATCAAGGATGAGTTCGACATAATTTAAATGTCAAGGATAAATTTTATTAAATTATTTAGAATTAAAATAATTTATATTAAGAATTAAAGAAGTTAAACAAGAATATTGAAAAGGGGGTTGAACAATGAATGCAATCTAATATCATCGGATTCTATGGTAATATGTAGTGATGGACTGACAGGACACTCATTTTCACTAAAAAAAATTTAAATTTTATTTATTTTAGATATTATTCATTGATAATATATTTTCGTTCTATTAAATTTTTATAAATCCATCTTTTAAAATAAATAAATAAAATATGTCTCTCTAATAATATGTCTAGAGGTTTGGTGGAATAGATATCAAGCTTTATCAAATTTTTTTAGTCTACATCAATTATAATATAATATTTGTTAATAATATTTTTTAAATATTGATAACTCATACACGTCCTACCAACATAACTATTTAAATCTAAAAAATTAATAGAAAAAATAATATTCTATTTAACTATTGAGACTATTTAATGAATTATTTCTTTCATTAATTTTGATTGGCCGAATCTAATCATGGAGTTATATTTACGATGAGAAATTTTGGTGTGGATAGGGACAAGAAGCAATCATTTCATATGCATAACTAGATTTTGTTTTTGAGGTTTGCAATGCAACATAAAGTCGATCCAAAAGGTGAAGGCGTAACCGACCACGAGACAGGTGGAGCTACCTCTTGTAATATGCTTTTAATATTTTCTATTTTTTACAATAAAAATATTTATTTTTCCTTCAAAACCATAAATGCCTTTCCATTTTATTTTCTTCAACTTTGTTTTTATTTGATTTTTGAGTCGTCGCCGTCACGGATTTTTGTTATAAGGATACTATAATTTCTCAACGTGCATAGGGGAGAAGCGATACTGAGAATTCAATCTTGTTTTTCTCATGCCATACCCTACAAATATCTTGTTACTTAATTATTTCTTATCAACTAGTCAACATGATGTTACTTGATAGATTAAATCAATTAACTAAACATTATTTGAATGACCTAAGAAAAGTAATTTAGGCATAGAAACTTGTGTAATTCAATGTTACTTTTCTTGCTAACATTTTTTATATGTTTTTACTAATAATTTTATTGTTTACATAGTTAAAAAATAAATAAATAATCATAATATGTAATATATATATATATGATACTATAGTTTATCACACTTACAACATGAATAAAAAAAAAGTGTTCATATTTAAAATTTATATTTAAAATTAATAATATGCATAATAATTGATTTCATTTATATTATTAAAATTTGTTAGATCTCTTCTGAATATTTGTTTATATGGATTTTTTGTAATTAGAACACTATATATTAAATATGATTTTGATGTTCTTCATTATTAGAACTTGAATATCCATTTGATTAAAGTCCTATATGATATTTACTTCTTATGTCTATAAATATAGAGTTTAAAAAAAGCATTATATACAATTCAGATTGATATAATAATAGAATATTTATCTACATATTATCATGTCTCATCTTCTTGTTCTTCTTATTGCTTTTGAGCAAGTATTGTTGACACCATGTAAAATAAAAAGAACGATATAATAATAATAATAAGAATAAGACGAAGAAATATGAGAATAAAGAGATAGATATTGTTTATTATCTCAATATAAATTGTGTACAATGCTTTTCTCTAAATTCTATATTAAAGTCTTAATAATAAAGTGCATCAAACTCCTACTTAATACATAGTGTTCTAATCATAATAGACATCCACATAAATAAATATTCATTACACTCCCCCTTTGATTTCTATGAAAATAACGTGTCTCGTTAAAACCTTATTAATATAAAAATCTTGTGAGAAAAATCTTATTAAAAAGAAAAAGTACACATTTAATACACATAATATGTTGTCTCAGTAAAAGCCTTATCAGGGAAACTTACTAAGAAAAAACTTCGATTAAGAAGAAAAAAGAGTATAACGAGTAATTACTCCTTAAAAGAGAATAAATCAACCTTAAAAGAGAATAAATACACAAATTCAGATAATAGATATTTGAAGATGAATATATTATATAATCCTTTTTGAAACCACAACAAATAATAATCCTTTTAAAAAATTACTATATATAACAAATATTTTCATATAATGCAATTAAAATAATTAAAAACTTTATAATTAAAATCGAGATTTGGGTTCTGGGAAGATATGGGCTGAGTTATTGGGTTCATAAAAATTAAAGTGAGTCGACCATCAAAATAAGGTTTTACGGGCACGTTAGATTCGAAGAATCGGGCGGCCCATGCAAAAGAAAACCAAAATGAAAACATCAAAACAACACGCGTCTTTAACCATCTCCATCTCCAGTTGTTGCAGAAACCAGACCAAATTGATTCAGCAGCAGCTTGTTGTTTAAAAATCTTATGATGGAGGTTACCTATGGCCATTGAAAGATGATTATTGCTTTTATATATTTTTTTCTGAATTGGAGTTTTGTTTTTTCAGTTTATCCATCCCCACATTACTAATTAATTTTCTTTATTGTGATGTTCGAAACAACAGTGTGTAGCTGCAGATTCTTACAGGTTTTCGTTGCTTCTTATCGTTGCATGTTCTTTTTTTTACCTAAATAGAATAATTATATCCACGACTGATGAATAATTTTATATTAAAAGGGGTGAATCTATAACGTTTAGAGGACATCAAACTTATAAAATTTTAAGAAAATGAAAACAAATTATAAATAAAAATACATAAAGAAAATCTATAACATAATTTTTTTTTAATTTCAGAAGGACAACAGTTGCTATCAGTCCACTCGATCCATCCCTAATTGTATTGTGTAGCATTCGGATTACATATCCTTCATGGTTTAATGCTGCAATTGCCCTTGGGATGTGCATAGGATGGAGAAACTACCCATACTTTTAGGAGAACGTTTCAATCATACCCAAAAGTACCAAAATATTATATTTATTATACTTCGTGGTTTTCACTTATTTTAAATTTCAATCTATATAAAGTACATAATCTAAATGTTTTCTTCTAAATTGGTCTTTTAAGAATGTTGTTTTTGTCATCATTGATATACAATACAATTTTGTGGTACCCTATTATCAAAAATTAAAATTGTTAATAAAAATGTCAAAATAATATATGAAAGTTTAAGTATTGATAACAAAAAATTCTTTAAATTCCAATTAGAGATAACATTAATTCAAGTATTAAATGTATATTTATGAAAATATTAAAAAATATAAATAATAATTTTTATGATTTTTTTAAATAAAATATTTTAGATATTTCTCTACTGAGTTGATATTGATTAGCTTATAATTCAAATATTTGAATAATAACAAGATTTTATTACACTTATGACGTTGGTGAATAAAATTAGGTGTAATATAAAATAGTGCTCAAACTATACTTTTTTCTTATTTAAATATTTATACTTTTGTTGTTTAATATAAATATTTAATATTATAAACATTATTATTTTAGATGTATATACCTTAACAACCGTTGGAAAAATAACACCTCGCCACTACCCATTTCTCAGAGGAACTTCCTAGACTCCAATTTAAATAATAATTCATGTAGTTTGATGAATGCACATAGCGGGCCTAACTTCCCAGACATAATACATTTAGTCCATCTTACAAATAGGTGATCACATGTTAATTAAACATTTAAAATATATAATATAATTCCACTAAGATAAAAAAAGAAAAGAAATTTTCTCATAATTTACTCCTTTAATTCAATCTAAATAAAAAAGGATGAAGCACAAAACATTAACTTATTTACCTTAATTCCCATAATGTTTACCATCATAAACCATTATCGTTCCTATTATACATCAGCACACTAAACAATTGAATAATGAGAATATAAATAAAATAAATTATTTTATTTATAGTAACCGAATCAATATATTTAAATTCATTATTTTTATATTTGACCGAATCTTTGGTTTTTTTTTTACAGTCAACCGACAAACTCAGAATAAATGGGGAGAAAACAGTGTAAATAGAAAACAAAGTTAGAAAATATTTTATTTCATTTTCTAAGCTGTGCTTGGTTTCCAAGCAAGTTTTTTGGATGGATTAGAGAAGTCAATGGATTAATTTCATAACATTTTTCAATTAATATCTAAAATTTTATTTTTATATATAATTAATGAACCATTAATGTTATTAAGAAAACTTTAACAAGCCTGGATTAATATGACGTTTCAAGAATGAAAACAGAAAAGAATAAATTACTCATTGTTGGACTCTATAAAAATAATACAATAAATATGAAAATTTTCTAAGGTAACAATTAAATAAAGGTTTCGTCTTAAGTTATTATTTATGAAACGTGTTTACTTTTTCCTGATGAAATGAAAAGTGTTTTTATTAATACGATGTGTTATTTTCCCCCCTAAACATCCATATAAAATATAAATCATCCAATTACAAAGCATATCAAACAATATAATAATCAAATAAATTTAATTATCCATTATTCAAAGATTATAATAAGATTTTTTCGCAAATTCATGTCTCCTTATGATCATATAAGATATTAGCTATGTCCTCTAAAGAAAAATTCAAAATAGGATAGGGACTTGCTTTCAAAAGAAGAGTTCGAATAAAAAGAAGAACTACAAAAAACAAAATAAGAATATCATCCTCTAAAAAGGGACCCGAATTAGTACCTGAAGATATGCAGGATTATGCCCACAAAGTCTCTTAAAGATTATATAAATTTGAACACGTTCTGAGGGTTTTGTTACTTGGGGACCGAGCTTATTTTAGAGGGGAAGTTTGGGACACGTGTCACCCACAAAGGTATGCAGCGGACTCTCCGGTTTTGTAACCATCCCTTATTCCTTTAAACCATTAAGTGTCTTAAAGATTATATAAATTTGAACACATTTAACAATCCATTAAGATTTTCTTTATTTTTTTAAATTAAAGAAAGAGAGAGAAATAATAACGTAATTAAGGTAGTTTTTATTAAGGATACTCCTATGAAACAGCGATTCTTGGTAGTTTGACTCTTCCTTGCAACTGAGCTCATCTGTTCATCTTCTAGTATCTCGCCCTTTAATTTCGTTCTCCAAAAAAGTTTCAGTTTTTCTTTTACAGATTCAAAATCTCATCTTTCATGTTAAATGTTTGGATTGAATCCAGAGAGTTTGTTCATACTAACAAGCTAGTGAAACCATCGAAGCAAGCGGTTTGCCATGGAGTCTAAACCCAAAGACCCCAGAGTTGTTCGGATTTATGTCACCGATGGCGACGCCACGGATTCTTCCAGCAACGGAAGCGAGAATGGGAGGCGCAAGAAAGTGAAAAGGCATGTGAGTGAAATCAGATTCCAAGATTGTTCTACATTCAGTTCCACCAGGCAATCGAAGGAGCAAAAAAATATCAGATCAAAGAAGCAGCAGCCACAACGACAACAACATCAATGTTTGTCTAGCCGTGTGAAGTACCGTGGGGTCCGACAAAGGCCGTGGGGAAGATGGGCGGCTGAGATCAGAGACCCAACGAGTCGGAGCAGGGTCTGGCTCGGGACTTTTGAGACTGCTGAACAAGCTGCCTTGGCCTATGACAGGGCAGCGATTCGATTCAAAGGTCCTTGTGCTCTTACAAACTTTGATCTTGAAATGATTTCCGAGTATGATTCTGTGCAAGAATCCCAGTTTCTGTGTTCACCCACTTCTGTTCTCAGATTCCGGTCCAATGAAGAAGCTGAACTTCAAACGGAATCCGAGTCGAGAGATAAGTCTTTAGAGATGATAGAAACTGGGTGGAACCAACTTTCTGATGACTATTTGTTAATAGATCCTGGGGTTTTATATGATTGCTTTGATTTTGATATCCCTGCACCTATATTTTTCGATGAAATGAGGTTATCAGAAGACAGTAAATTGGGACAGGATTATGCCGATATTTCTGCTAAATTAGATGTCGATTTCGGGTCATGTTCGTGGGATGTCGATAATTATTATTAAGACTAAGACCAGACTAGTTTTGCCTGGAACTGAAGTTGCTGGTAAATACTTCTGCCGAGCGTAATTTTATGCGATTTTGATGGTAAATTCCGAGTGGAACTTTGGATACATTTTTCCAGTTTTGTTCTTCCTGTCTCTCTTTTAGTGTGTTTCTCTACTATTACACTGTGTAAAGAAATGCCAAGTAAACTGTAAATTCTCTGTTTTATTTTGGTTATTGAAATCCTTTGCTTTAAATCTTTTTTCTTGTCTGGATATTTGATGGGGAGGATGAGATGTTTTATTCATTTTCTTTTATTTTTACTTGTTAAATCTTCAATGGGTGCGGGACTCAAAAGCTGCCAAGTTGGGTTCCCATGTTCAACGGTTCGCCACCTTGGACACTTGTTAGCCATAAACTCATTTGAGTTTCCTTAGAGCCTTTCTTTTTAAGCATGACATTCCAATTCCATGCCACTTGTTCCTTACTTCAAACATCTTAAAGCAAGGTGTAATGGTTAGGATAAGGAAAGCTGGATTCGATTAGAAAAAATGATTTTTTTAATTCGATTCAACATGAAAAAAGTTGTTTTGAATCAACTCGTAATTTCATAAATTTAATTCAAGTAAAAATATATAAATAAAATTTTAGTTATAAAACATGATTAGGATAATTAAATTTTTTTAGTAATTTTTGTAGGTTGACTTTTAAGTTCGAGTAAAGTCTCTCAACTCTACATTATATATGTGTATTACATATGTAAAAATATGAATATATATATATATATATATATATATATATATATATTACATATAATTATAGGAATCAGTTTAAATTGAAATCAATTAATATTATAATATAATAAATATTTACAATTAAAATTTAAATAAAAATTCGAATAATTCAACTCAAATATCTATCCTTAATAACGACACTATACGAAAATTTACGGCTTTATGGCCATAAAAATCATGCAGTTATATTTGTTTCATTGTCAGTTTGTCGTACTCTAATCTTACGTTATGTTATTGCTCCATATTAAGAGGGATTTCATTGTTTTGGTGAATTATTTTTCACTTGGGTTTCAAACAGCATATAAAAGTGTTGATTGAGATGAGACAGAACTAAGAGATGCCGCCATCGGACTCTCGTTTAAAGGACCTTATTCCATCCACTTGAATTTTGAAATCCTTAGAAAAAAAAAAAAGAGAAAATAACCTCAGTGACCAAAAATCCCATATAATATATGATTTTAACCAATTTTTTCCAGATTTGCCAAAATGACCAACAAAATCGCAATGCGATCTCTAATTCGCAACGCGATCTCCATTATCGCAAATTCGCGTTGCATTTCGCGTTGAGATAGTTGAAAATCGCGTTGCGATGGTCTACAGTGTCGTTGCGATACTGACTATCGCAATGCAATTTTCCTAATTCGCATTGCGATTTACATAGCGCCATTCGTATTAACGCGTATTTTATTTTCAAATTCCAAACACGAATTTTTTCTTAATAAATCGGAAACTGAACCGTCCACAGTAATCGCAACTCATAACCTCAAACCTAAAATCACAACACTCAGTCCCATCTCCATCTCTCACTCTCTACGGCGAAATCCGTCCCCATCTCCGAAGATTTCCGTCCCCATCGCCGGCGAAATCCCTCACAACCATTCACAGTCAAAAATCCCTCACAATCATTCAGAAATAGAAAATCAACCTCCGATGGTTAGTTTTGTTTTATTTTTATTTTGAAATTTTTGCATTATTTTAGGTTTTTCATATTGAGATTGATGATAAGTTTACTGTTAATTTCAATAATAGATTAACCATTTCACTTAGATTTCTTATTAAATTCATTCGATTGCTGCCAATACTGCTAAACTGTTTAGCATGTGAAGTTAGTATTTGTCTTTGTTTTGTCTTTTGGTTGAAGTAATGCAGAAGAATAAATAGTTTCGAGAATGAAAATCGCAACGCGGAAATAACTATCGCAACGCGAAATAAAAATTACAACGCGAAACCAAAATCGCATTGCGATTCTCTCGTTGCGATTTTCATTTCGCGTTGCGATTCTCTTGTTGCGATAGTCATTTCGCATTGCGATTCTCTCGTTGCGATAGTCATTTCCGCGTTGTGATTCTCATTATCTCGTTGCGATTTTCATTTCAACCAAAAGATAAAGCAGTGTTGCAAATTTTAGTTTCAAGAATAAACTACTATTTATGTTTATTGTTTTTGGTATATCTAACTTGGTATGTTTAATGTTTTTGTAGAAATTTTTTTTCGGCTTCATTGACATTAAGGAATAAAGTTAGCTAGCCACTACAATTGCTTCGAAGCTTTCACCTGCACAAAGAAAATTGTTTGAGGAAACCTGCTTCGGGCCATGGCTGAGAGTACAGCATCCGGGTGGAGATGCTAATTTGACCCATTTGTAGCTTCAGACCATGACTAGCGATCTACCCAGTATACAACGTGGTGAGGAAGAGATGGTTTCATTTTCCACCGGCGTATACTTGTTTTGGGCGGAAGGAGTTCTGTTAATCACTGGTCTACGATTCGGACACGATGATTAGGCGGTACACTCGTCATATCACCCGCCCATCATGGTTATCCAGGGTTTTTCCTGATGAGTCAATAGAGAAGCCGAACTTACACGTCGACGACATGAAGAAATTGTTTAATAAGAAAGATGATTTTACTCGGATGAATGACGTCGATGTTGTCCGAGTATGCCTTCTACTACTTTTGTATGCCGGTTTTTTTAGGCAGAGAGGCCAGACAACCTATTCCTCAGGAGCTAATATTATTGGTAAGGACCTAAATGCATGGAATCTGTTTCCATGGGGTCGTATATGGAAACCTACCTGGACTAAGTTGTCGTCTGCCTTTGATGACCGCAAAAGTTTGTGGGGCGATGGGTCGAAATACACTTTGTCAGGCTTTGTTTGGGCCTTTAAGGTAAGAATTTCTATATATGTTTTCAAAATTATAATTAATTATTTAACAATTACTAATGTTTGTTATTATATTGTTGTAGATTGGATATCGAGGCCTTTCCCGCCATGAAGACATATGCAATAAAAACTTCAAATGATATTCCCAGGGCTATTTCCTGGAAGAGAAAACGTCTGTTGGATTGGGAAGACTTAATACCATATGCGACAATAAATAATGTAAGTTAACACAAATACTATCATATATAAACAAGTTATTAATAGTAGACGTTTAACTTTGTTTGAGTTTTTATATTTTTAGGAGGCCAACATTCCATTAATGAGACTGACACCCACAGAGGCTGAGCTTGCCTGATTGGTGGTAAGCTAGTCAGCGTTTCTTGATGGCACGAATGATGAGCAGCCTCCACTTCCTCCACTTCGAGAGCCATCACCTCACCCAGAGCCATCACCTGATTGACCGATATACACCTCTACAACGAGAGCCTCACCTATCGTCACATCATCACGCCTCTTCTCCACCATGATGAGGTCAATGCCTTGCGTGAGGAGATCGGTACTCTACGCGATAACGATGGTGCATGGCGTGTGGAGGTGTCTACTTTACGTGGTGAGGTTACCGCTCTACGTGAGATGGTAGTATCGTTGCAGAATGAGGTTCATACTCTACACAACGAGGTAAGTTTAAGATTTTTCATATTTAACTTGATGATAAATTTACTCGTAATTTCACTTAAATTAACCATTTCACTTAGATTGCTTAGTAAATTTATTCGGTTGCTGCCAATACTGCTAAACTGTTTATTAACACTGTGAAGTTAGTATTTGTCTTTTTGTTTTGTCTTTTGGTTGAAGTAAATTTATTCGGTTGCTGCCAATCTGCTAAACTGTGTATTCTTTAACACTGTGAAGTAGTATTTGTCTTTGTTTTATCTTTTGGTTGAATTGAAATATATTTGTCTTTGTTTTCACTGTTTAAATATCATGTATGTTTATTTACTGATATTTGTATTTAATTATTTAGCGGACCGATAAGATGGATGCTTTACGTCGGGTTTTCCTTGCACGTGCTATTAAGTCTCAGTATACCCCAATAGTGCGAAGACACCGCAAGAAGAAGCCCGACTCGCCTGTCATCCCTCAAGAGTCCACTCCTATCGTTGAAGAGGCCCCTATCATTCCTCGAGAGTCCCCTCCCACCGTTCAAGAGGCCACTGTCATCGTTGAAGAGGTCCCTCCTACCATTCAAGAGCCCGATTCACATGGCGTCATATGTAGGATTCTTGAGAAACCCTCTGACGTGCCAGACATGATGGATTCAAGTTGGCTCTCGTATGAGTTACCGGCCAGTACCATACCGGTATCTGAAGTGGAGAGGAAACAACTACCGGACACAATTCTGGATAACACCCTTTGGGCTAAGACCGCAGTTGATTTTTATCTACATGAGCGAAGCCAGGGATGTTTCACTGACATATGCAAGCTCAACGATGATATCTATTTGTTGCTTGACCGGTCTTGGTGGGGCGTATTATTAGGGGTCGAAGACAATGGCTATTTCGATGGAGGGGTAAGTCTTATATTTTTATATTTTAATTTGATTATTTTTTTTTAAATTTATGTAAGTTACTAATATATGTCTTTTTTTGTAAAACAGCATATCAATGCGTGGGTGTCACGTCTTCTAATAATTAGGAAACTTAAGGAAAATAAAAGAAATACACGATACAATTATGCCGACGTCTTTTAACGCCGTTCACTTGAAGAATCAACGAGATGAATCATTTGCGTTGGGCAATGGACAAGCTAAACTTTATCCTGCATGGTGGGAGGTCGATAAGGTTAGTGTTTATTTAGATTGAGTTTAAAGGTATTCATAAATAAGTGCGCAAATGAATGAATATTACTTATGATTGCAGGTGTTATCCCTGTTTTAGAACGTAACCATTGGCTTCTCGTCGAGCTTCAGATCCCATCCCTTAAGGCAATAGTATATGACAGCATGATAAATTACATATCATTGGCTGATTTAAGAGATATTATTAAGGGAAGGAGCTCTTATTTGGATAAATTCTTGGATGCGATAAATTATTGGACT